CCGTCTACCTCGACAATGGCTTGTACGGTAGCTTGTGTCAGTGCGCTAATCGCGACCCACCCAGGAAAAGAGGAGTACTCTAAAGTTTTATTGTGTACAAGCGACCGGTTACGGGGACACTGATTCTTCCAGTGGCCAGGCCTGCCACACATGTAGCACCGGCTGGATCGAGCGTGCCTCCGCGACTCCGTCTTCACGGCCGCCAGCTGTTCGGTGAGTTGGTCCACCCTGGTCTGCAGTTCCTCCACTGATGAACCATTCCTGTTCTCCTGCGACTGAAACGTGGCCAGTGGTTCCTGGGGCAGCTCCCGGGCCAGACGCACCAGCTCCTCCACACCCAACTGGCCAGTTGCTCGTGCCAACCGCAACTAGACACCAAGCGCGGACTGCACACCTTCGACGAACTGATCCGACAGCAACTGGTGTCGCGACACTCCGTCCAGCGTCGGCAAAGCGCTACCCCACAACTGCTGCAGGCCGGCGAAGAACACGGTCGGGTCAGATCCGGGTGCCATCCTGGCCGTCTTGAACCGCCTCATAGCCTCCTGGCGGTCGGCCGGCGTGTCGAACTCCTCTTCAAGGACTTCCTTCGCGGCGGCCCAGTTCATCTTCCGAGGGTCTCTTCTGGCCGAATCCAGGGCCGCCTTCGCCCGGCTCTTGAGGAGGGTCTTCAGCGCTGCCAACTTACCCCGGTCGGTCTCCAGCTCGGCAACCTCCGCCACCTCCTCAAAGTCCTCCAGGAAGGTCCTAACATCCTTATACTCAAAGGGTTGCGGCCACGGGATCTTCATCCTTATCCTGGTCACGGCACCAAATGAAAGAAGGCCTTCGCCTCCTCAAAGTCCTCCAGGAAGGTCCTAACATCCTTATACTCAAAGGGTTGCGGCCACGGGATGTTCATCCTTATCCTGGTCACGGCACCAAATGAAAGGAGGAAGGCCTTCGCTGCGGAGTTATTTATTCGGAAATGCCAACTGACCGGTTACAGACCATTGAACAAGGAAACAAAACTCCAATCTGCATCTTAGTTACACAACCTGGACAAAGATCTTCTCCCGAACGAGTCTTCCTGGAGATTCATTGCTTCCAATCATTCGTCGGTCAAATAAAAGCAAATGTTACAAAGTGGCCCCGCGAATTCCGCAACAGAATTCCATTTTTCAATCGACGCAAAGCGAAATTCTACGAACAACACATACTACTCGCGTGCCTCCCGATCAGTAGTATCACCGTTACACTATTACACGCCACGTCTCATAACAAAACAACATGTATTGTGGCCTGATACACACCTGTTGAGATTCGGATACTGTTTTGCCGCCAAGCGGTAAGGCGACGATGTGCAAATGATCCCAGGAGTCTTGTTACGACTAGAGTCAAACTGACACTGATTACCGCACTCACTACAAGTCCCTTTTAGAAAGTGGGCACTGTTGCCGACACTCTCCGGTTTTCTGGAGCAGTCTTATTTCCCTAAATGCAAATAGATCGGACAAGCGCTGATTGAGGACCTCACCTCCATTCTTGAACGACTCAGGTCCGTTGTCTGGGATGGCCTCTCCCAGGTAGACGCGAATAGGCGAGATAGGCACTGTCTGGGGAACTCGCTAGTGTCCTTCAACAACGCTGGTAGGAAGTCATCGGCACCAGGAACGCTGTAGCCCATTCGGCAACCCCTGAGACCGAAGGTGGCCCCATTTTACGACTCGCGGTTTTGCTAAAGGCCGACACTCCGGATTTGGGGTAGCAGTTGATCAACTGGATTGTCTTGTCCGATGGCTCCGTTGTACCACTCCTTGCATTTTCATTCGTGAACCCTCTGTACTTTTTAAAATGTTCTGTAACCTCTATCTTACACTCCCCGATGTCGTAAACTGGGGCGACCCAAATATGAATCATCACTACTCCTCATCCCACGGATTTCTAATAAGATTCAAAGTTAGTAATTCTTAGGCTAGTAGTTGAAGACAAAACCGTTTAGCTTCGAGCGGCTGACAGGCAGTGTGATTGTTTTGCACCTGGAGAATTGCGAAATTCCACACTTGAGCAGCCGCTCGTGGCCAGACGTTCATGTCTTTAACTGTTGACGCACAAATAGCGGGTTCGAATCCCCTTTTAGATTCGTGAGGTGCCTGCCGGTGATGAACCATAATAAGGAAGAAGCAGTTGTGCAATTTTCATAGGCTTTTCTGCTCAGAATGATATCTATCGAAATCTCTGCTCATACTACCAACAGTTTTTGCAGCCAGAAAATTATATGAAACCCTGTTGGTTTACTATTTTCTGCTTTTCTGTCTCTTTTTTGTTTAGCTGGAATCCTACTCGTGCCGGGTCTTCGTTCACTCAGTTACTCAGGTCAATCTCGATAAATCGATAAACCTAATCGGTCCGAGCAAAACCACCCTCTACCAAGGTTGGGACATATACCAGAAGCATCGCCAATTTTTCGACCTGGTGCAATGCCATTCTGGTTCTCGAACAAGGTGCCTAATAATATGCGTGCTCAACATTCACGTTTAGGTTACGACAATCAGTAGAAACCCGGCGGACCCGGGTTCAACAGGTTTAAATCTGCGGGAGGAATCGCAATTGCTTTACAACAAATATTACCCCAACCTTAACGTATCCGGCATCCATGAGGCACCCGCATTGCGCTCAGAAAGCTCCGCAACTCGTGAATGGATCATGACGGCACTACGCAGCAGCACGGGACAAGATAGACTATTCGCCATGGCCTACCTTGTCACTACACATCCCATGCTGTCATTACGTTATCTGGATTCTCTCATAGCTTCCATAGTTCCGTCTAAACAGCGTGATTGCATTCGAGCTATCGGTTTGTTCTTCATTATAAAGCAACTAGCTTCTAGAGGTTACTCACCAGTTATTCATCCGGTCACTGCTTCCGAGCCAGCGTATTCTGGTACCTTTCGACCTCCGGCCTGTCCACCCGCTAAATGGAGTTTCAGTCGCGCAGCGTTCTGAGATATTATGTCTTTGGTATTTTGAAGACCAGTTGAAATCCAAATACCTGCATTTCATCAAAGCGCTTGAGGTACTGTTCATTCTTGCTTACAATCTTCTCTAGCGATTGCTCTTGAGTGACACAGTGGAAGGGTTTAAGAGGAAAGCTTTGAGTAAGTCCTGTTTTTTAATTTTCTTTCAGTGCGTAGATGCTCTCTCAGACTTAGCAGTGAAGTCACCAGAAAACCGAGGGGTATGGCTGCGAATTCTGTAGTTGACTTCGTAGATGGTGGTGGGAATCATTGTGAATAAGCTGGGAGATCGGAGTAAAGTTCTAGCTTCATCAGTTATCCATAGGTTACGCATAATGGGTAAGTTTCTTCCCGATCGTCACTAATGTATCAGTTAAAAAAGGGTTTCACATGAGCGCTGTGATCGTGCAGGAAATCCGTTCTTTTCTCTTTCGTCCAAACCTTCCCGAGCGTGCAAAGTACTACGCTGTGGTATTCCTTAGCTCCTTGCAGTTAAGAAACAATCCTACCCAGTGCACTGATGACAGTACTGCACAGGACCTACCTGTAACTCTAGTGAAGATCTATACCGCATTCTTTAATGCAACCACGAAGAACGCACTCCCCGAGAAACTGATTGCTGTTCTACTCACTGGGTTGAACCGAGCTGTTCCCTTCGTCTCAGGTAAGTTTTATTTTGTCTGGCAAACAAACCTAGTTAGACTTTAACATTTTGCGAGCTATATTAGTAACTTTGGCAAACATAGTGCATAGATGTTTGGTACCTCAATTCTTTCACGACAGCTGTCCATATATCCGTAATTTTGGGCGGCAGTGGAATGTTCAGACGTGGATTCAAATGGCGGATCTAGCCAGCTCCGTATTTCATAGTCTATGTTTAAGGTAGCAAGATAAATTTGTACAAGACGTTCAATATGTTTGATAGGTGTTTCTGAATCATGATCGGCGGCCCATTGCGCAACACTCCGTGGAGCCCTCAAAATAGAAAATGTGGAATTTCCTAGCTTTGACTGCCTTTCAGTAGATAGGATTGCTAAGTTGCCCACCGTTGGTTTTTCATAAAAGGGATTTTCTTCATTCATTGATACAATGAACATCCCCACTATCGTCGGCTTTTGCTTCGGTGTTATTTTCAGATCATTTTTCTAGAAAAAAGACATTTTTTGACAAATACACTCATTTGCAAATCAATTTGACTTGAGAACCACCTGTAACCCGGCTGAACCTCTCGTTCATAGTGTTTTTAAGCACTTTACATCTTCACTAAATTGGTATCATCCTGAGCCGTTGTGAACAATTGGGGCCCAAGCGTTACCGATGAATCGGTTTCGAGGTCATTCACTACCATAATCTCGCTTGGTCATTTTTTGTAAAGGATTGATCGGTATTCTGATTATTTTGGGTCGTTGAGAAACTTGGTTGCTCACTTACTTTCGGATCCACGGTAGAGGATTCCGGCAATCCTGGTTTGCTGCTCCCTACTGCTCGCTTTGCGTAGGAACACCATTGTTGAACGTCGGTACTTTGTTTTACTGCTCTATCCAGGTTTCCCTTTTGAGGGCATTCGTTTTATTTGGCCCGATTGCTACGAGCTGCATACCTGTAACGGTGGCCCCTAACGTAGTGTCTTTGACACCACACATGATAAATTGATACCTTTATGGTTGGTAAGCTCGTGTTCCAGCTCACTTACCTGCTCTTACTTGTAGAAAGCCGCTTTGAGGAAGTCTTGGTGGACGTTGACAGTATTTTTTCATTGGTGCACCGGTCAAGTTGCAGTATCTCACTCCAAGCCCTTGCTGTTCTGTTTCAACTCAGCAGCTGTCGGGTGAACATTCGGGGTCGTTATTACCAGGTAACGTGGTTTGATTCTTGATATCTGATGCAGCACAGTATTAAACAGTAGTTTACCCTAGATTTGACCCTTTTCAACATTGTGCATGCTACTTTCTGTTCTGACAATAGGACGATGTGCCACTTATGGTGAATGCTCAGTTTTGCAAATTGGGTCTTAAATAACGTTCATTTGAATTTTCTTGAGAAGTTGATTCGATGGTCATGGGACCGATCACGATCTTTCAAACGCTACAGTTTGGTTATTTTGTAGATCCTGTATCGCCAAGCACTTGCTGATCTCACAAATTCCTGAATCTTTCGGAGATCGCCATGCTTCGGGCACTGATTTGTAGTATGAACCTTGTACAACGGCCGTATATTCTGGTTCACACTTAGTTGGCACTTCGATCATCCAAAATCAGTGGACTTTTACCTTTATTCGTCGCCTACAGCTTCAACGAATCCGAGTGCTCGAGAAACCTCAAACTCCACAATAGATATCACGGCTGTCAGTGGTTCATTCGCCGTAGATGTATAGTTTGTGTAATCTGTTCCTTTTAGCATTATGTAGCAGGACCTTCGTTGCACATTGTTATACGTTCGTTGTAAGCATTCTACTCATAAGATGTTTTGGTATTTTCACATGCATTCTCGTGACAGTGTGTTGAACGCCAACTCTGCTAACCTCTTAGCAGCTGCTTGCAACAAGCTTTGTTGTCTTCAGTGAGGAGCGTCACTCGCATATTGTGCTAAACATCAAGGCAATGCGAAAAATTCACACTGTTCGATATATTGTGCACGGTCGTTTCGACTAAGAAACTGTTCTACCCGAAGCGCAAAAAATTTGAAAGGTATTCACCGGATTTTACTTTTCTCTTGGAGGCTTTAAATCAATATAATCTCTCTACGATTGTTTTCATCAAGAAGATCCAAATCGATTTCAGAGGTATTTCATCCTAAAAGACAGGACCGTGACTCCTTGCCCCTGAATAGCCACAAATTTTAGAAAAGTCTAGCGTAGAAAATGCACGATAAGGCTGTTTCCTTAGGAGTGGAAAGATCCCCCCTATGTTGAGTAGACAAGATGAATACTCTAGATGAGCCCCCATATATCGGTTGGTTGCCATGCCTTAGTCAGGTTTTGTACGACTTTCTTTTCTTTCAAAGGGCTAAACCCAGAGGAGCACCAAATTTCGTTTAACTCTGCTTCTCTTCAGGTAACCGGTTTCCTTATGCTTTTTATACCTTCTTACTAATGAAGTTCCGGCTGTTGGGCGAGTAATGCATGTCCATGATTTTTCCCATCACTTCTCGAGCTCTGGCTTTCGTACTAAGGACCCAGTGGATGAATCTCTCTCCTTCCATCTAAAGGAACTTCATTTTAAAAGGCACTCTTCATGGCAATAAAGTTTCCTCGATGAAGTAAACAAATACTAGCGTTCCAGCGATGTGATGGCCAGGAAGTGCACACGACTTTTTGCGGTTGCCATACAATTGGATGCTTATATATGTGGTCCATTTCACAGCTTTAGTGCTGTTTTTGGAACGGATGGGGATACATAGGACCAAAACAGTGAGCACTGTACAAATACGCTCATTTGCATACCAGTTCGATTATCACGAAAGACCCATCTAAAACAGATGGATCTCGTTTTTATGATAATCTTCAACTGAATGTGCTGCACGAAGGCCGCTTCATGTTTCAGTTTGTACGATATTCGAGATATCGCAGTATATTTTCATGACGGAAACTGCTTGCAAGGTCACTGAAAACTGTTCGACAGTCCACGACCGGTTTCACTCTTCTTGAGGCTTATCGGGTAGGCGCATCCCCCGAGTTTTCGTCAACCTGCTCAATTGAAATATGAGATAACTTTTATTAAGCACATTCAGTTGAACAGTATCATAAGAACGGACGATTCTGCCGGGTTTCCGACGAGTCTCCCGTGAAAACTGAATTCACATGCAAACGAGTGTATTTGTCGAATTTCGCGTAATTTGAGTTCAAGTAGGACGTAAGATTGACTTAATGAGATTTGCACCTTATTCCGCCACGAAGATTTCTGCGGTCCAATGATGAATTCGGGTTGACGAAAAGTCAGATAAAACTCTTAGTGAATTTTGTTTTCAAAGAAGGTTTTGTGTTGTCGCCATCACCAAATTTATTCATACTCGGATTTCTGAGACCTTTCCGTGAGCTTTTGAAGGCGCCCAATTTTTGCAAACCATCGACCTCTCACCTCCGAGGAATGTGTACTCTCTAGGTAAAAATCAGTGTCCAGAACGATCGTCAGTGCTCTCTCTGTGATGTCCGGCTAGCACATGTACGGATGTAGTTGTCCTGGGAATAGTTCATTAGAAGATGCTTTGTCCAGTCATAATCAGAAATCGTCAGCGATCTCGCTACATTCGGTCAACAAAATTACATACCTTCGTGCTGATTTGTCACAGGTTAAGCATTTGGGATCTCAATTACAGTTGCGAGTATTTCAATAACAGGGGGGGCATTGTGTGTGTGTGGGGGGGGGGTTCGAACCACTGAGATCTAAAAATCTACTTGAGTATAAACTCCCAACCACAGAAATTCTGAAAAACTGGGCGTTAGTTTCTTTGGGATATGTTTAGAAATCCATGTAGCTATCTGTCGTTTCTTCCGACGCGTTTGCTGTATAGGACACTTGAGAAGCACAGGATTGCACTTCACACAGTAGGCGCACATATTTGCCCTCTGCGTTGATGGTACGCTTGTTGTACTGGATGACATTTCACACGCACGACTGATGCCAGAATACTGAATGGTTCATCGAAGTGTTATCCAGTTACTCGCGCATCACCCGTAAAACTTCAAATATCGTATAACGACAGATCTATTGTCTAAAGATTCCCATCAGTCTGCGTATCGAAGATCGAGTTCGATATTGGACGTAGGCGCTGACTTCTCCCAATTGTTTATTCGCTTGACCGCAATGGTTGGAGGTTTATTCACCTTTCATGAATCATGCTAATGGGTTTAACAGAATTGATACAGAAGTGTTGTTCTCTCTGAAGATGTGGATGAGGTAGGTCTCGTCCGGCTTCTTCTTGACTTGACTTGAAAATCGACGTGTTTTGTTTAGCGTTCTGAAAGTACTCATTAATTCATTGAGAACAAAGCTTTTGAAGCTGACGGACTGGCTCCAAGTGATCGTCAGGCGGTTGCTTCGTATTATAGTTATATATAGGAAAACCAGAGGAACACAATGCTCGCGGGAAAAGAACAAAAGCTGTCACTTGGTTTCATGTAGGTATCCAGTAATGAACAGCTGACGTATGACCGAACCATTGGTTGTTTCTGTTCTAACTTCTGGGCCAATTCTGTTGCAGAGCTCTAGCCAGTCTTGTGTGTTTGCACAAGAAAGGCACTTTCTTTCTGATGCTAAATGCTTCAGCTATTTCCAGTGTATCTGTCCGCGCAGCTCTGGTGGGACGAAGTGGGGTGAGGTCGGGTGCGATTCTGCATACTACTGAAAACCCTCCTGGTACCCAGCGTGTGATACGTGCCCACCACATGGACAACAATAGATCTTCTGAGTGACCGCACAAAATTTTCGGTAGCGGATTGGGGCACTGTTCACGAATACGGACGGAAAGTCTACGGTTCATTCGAGCAACATAGGACGTATCACATGCGTATCTGAAGGGCTAGATCACTGTAGATGAGATAAACATTGATAGCTTATCTTTGTTACTCAAACCCGCGATGTTTGTGTTGTTTTAGTGGTGTTGTTCAATTTCTTTTTAATACCCCTGCAGCCGCATCTCCTTTAGGAGGCGAGCTAAGAAACGGGCCTTTTTCTGCTGCTGTCATTATTGTGGGCTTTTGGGGTGGTGGTTCGATATTATCGATGGGTCTCTCTGGATAGGCGTTTTCTACAAATGTATTCTGTACTTTTGCCAGTTCGTCTAACAACGTATCACTTGAGTAGATTTTCCTGATTGTTGAAGCCGGGCATCTCACGAAGGCTGCCACGAATTCAAATGGGACTGAGTTTTCCGTTTTCGAGTTTTTCGCAGACCAGGGCGCTCACCGGATATTTCGTGACATGTCTTTCTTCCCAGTTAGGGTTCGTTGGTATCGGTCAATTTCTTTCACACCGTTTCTCAATGCGTTTCTGCATCAATACTGTGCCCCCCACTAAGTCGTCTATGGCTGTGCTTAGGGTTAGGTACACCTCTCTTGTCTACGCTAACCAGCATCACCGCGCCTACCCTAGGCTCCCTGGTTATTCTTGCCTGAATGCTCATACATTTGAGCGCTGTTCGTACTTTCGAACGAACTGATCTACTGCACCTCTAGAAGCTCGGGCGTAGGTGTGCATATACTGAACATTTAATTCAGGCTACTCATATTCCAACCAAACGAACAATCTGGTGATACGTTTTCGCAAGATAGTTTCGGTGTAAAGATTGCGGTCGGAGAGTTTGTCTCAGATGAATGAATAATGACATCCAACTGGAAAAAGTAACGCAATCAGTAACTGATATTTCAGTCGAAAGAATTAGTTGATGTCCACATGAATTCTCATTTTCTCATCCCCAGTGCTTTTAGTTTGTTTCTAGATAAATGTTCTGTTTATGGACTGCAATTTCAAGAGTAAAACACCAATGCGATCGCTCGCTAGACAGGTTCATAAAGCTGACGGTTTACCAATAAATGATGTACCTACCACCTTTGGGCCATAGTACTCGGGAAGCGAGTTAACGCGACCAAAGGCCACAAATGCTGGAGAGAGTCAAGAAAAATGACTGCTTTTTAACAATAAACAACGTGGTTTTCACTTGACTGGTGGCTGGTGTTTTGGTTTTGAGGAGAGACAACTCAGCGAAGTGCTCTGCTGATAGCGGGATAAGTCAGCATAAGGTGTCGTTTACAAGTTTTTATTGATAATCGTAGTTTTGTAAGCGCCCATCGTCGACAAGTGGGGTGCGAGAATTCAAATTGACGGATACTCTGGGACTGTGCCCATATAATGATCCCCAAGAAAAGCGAAATCGGTCGTGTGCCGTCGAAGATATACCGAGATATCTCGAATATCATACCTACTGAAACCTGCTACGATTCCTATAAACGAGAGATTAAGCCGGGAATCAGTTGAGTCTTTTACTAAAGCCAAATTGGTGCGCAACTGAACGCAGTTCGCAGACTCTTTTACTAATTTTATATGCCCCGTTTTTTGGGATGATCTTTCAGGTGTAGTACCCTTGCGGTGCCTAGCTGCTATGCCACATGAGATGGCCCAAGTGGTTAGAGCGCGAATTTACTAACCGGAAGGTTCGTGGTTCGAATCCGACCTCCGCCACTCGACTTCCCCTGTCTAGGCTTGGGCAACCTGGCAGTATCCTAGCCCTCGTACTTCCTTCGGGTGGCATGGCAGTCAGACACCGGAAGGATGCTACAGCTGAACGCTTTATGCCACCTGAAGGAAGCACTAGGACTGGGATACTGCCAGGTTGCCCAAGCCTAGATAAGAGAAGTCGAGATGCTGAGGTCGGGTTACAACCACGGGCCTTCCGGCCAGTAAATTCGCCCTCTAATCACAGTCACCTTGCCCTCGTCATCATCCACTGCTTAACTGGGCCAGTACGTTTCTTGATGGCCGGTTATCTGCTTTCTCACAGTCAGTTAATGACTTCAGTTTGTGCTGTTTTTCGGTGTGCTATCACTGGCATATGATGCCATAGAATGCGCTCGGAGTAGTTTCAAATCGCATGCCAGCTCAGAGTCGTTCCTCTTTTCTGTGAGTCGCACTGCGCTTTGTGGAGTTCATTCTATCTTCTCATTCAATAAATACTATAGACACTCTATCGAAAGCTTCGAGATCCGGAAATTCTTCACACTTCCAGGGGACCAAGCCTTCTGCATTTGCTTTACCGGAGTATGTTAGCGGATCCCGAAGTTGAGCGCCTCTGTGCGTTCGCTCAGCGACTTCTGCAACTTTGCCTGTTGTACTGTAGTCCCGGATTCGTTGTTGGCACGTTGATTCTATTGGGAAAGGTAAGTCCTTGCGGTCAAGTTTTTCTGTTGATAACGTAAATCTTTCGTTTTCACTGTTCCATGCCTACATTGTGTGTAATACATTTCTTTTCGCCGAATCGAGCCTACACTGTACATGCTGTCGATATATCCCACCGGAACAATACACGCGTTCTGTAGGTACCTAGGCCCGAGTGCGTAAGAAAACAAGGGAACATGTTATCAGGAAAATGTTGACGAGATACGAGACCTCCGCTTAGTAGAGGGATTTTGAAATTGAGGATACCCGAGTTAGTCCTTCCTGGTACCGGGTTTTGGTATTGAAGATCGGTTCCGATAAATTTGGACAATATACGTCATGTTTTTGACCATTAACATCGCCCGGGTTGTAGATCATTTAAATCACGAATATTTGTACACATGTTAACTAACAAAGAACGGGTAGTTTCACCTGGTCTTCCAATAACCGGGTCCTTCATTTTCCGCGCTTCGTCACTCTACTCTATCTATGGTACATAGGTGATGTCTACTTCCGTACGAAGAGCCGATGTTACGTTATAGCAATTCCCAGCCAACGACCGCCACTTTGACGTTGGTTGTCAAGTCTGAGTGTTGCATTGTTCCGAGTGATCTGAGGGAAAGACAGATCGTAATGTTATCTTTGACAGGAGATAAAGTTAGTAAGGCGTTTCTTCCAGACAACTAACATTTCTATTGAGGCATTTGAGGGAATCTAAGTTATATCAAGGTGTTCGATTCAGATTACTTGCATCCAGCACTTTTCAAACAAGGCGGGGATACTTTAGCGGTTGGTTTGATGAGAGTACGATAAACATCGTAGAATAGAGAAAGAAAGTAAGGTGTACTCCTTTAATCCTAACAATGTTTAGGAAGTGTACGCAACTAATATGCGAAAACTACTGAGGTAGCAGCCTGGTAGCTGTAACTCCCAAGTTGATTTGTGGTTTTGTTATACGCGAACTTCGTAAGAGACAAGTCCGTGAGAAACATACTGGCTCGCGTCTTGCTGTAAACCACATGTTCGCCATCTGGTATTTCTTGAACAAACACACTGCTTCCTCTGGTCAAAATCGGTGGTCCTTCTTGACTTGAAAGCTGGTTGTCTCGAGCATAGTGTTCTATACGACCTTATCACCTTGAAGGTTTGTGTTCCAACTCTCGTAGATGGGTTTAGCGCCACTGGTTACCTGATGAGTTCATCACCCCCAGCGCGGACAAGTTATGTCGTCTTCTCTCTTTTCATTCCTCCTTCAATTTGTTGTCCATATGCTGATGGAGTAAATTCTTGCCTTTAACACCTGTGGAATTCAGACGCTCCTAGGATTTCTGAGGTCTCTAATTGGATCGAATCCAACAAGTGTCCAAACTATTTGATTATTCTCCTGACTCAGCTGCATACACACACGCATCACGACCGCTTACCAGGATACGTGGGTGCTCGCTAATATTAGTTTTAGTGCGGTTCCTTTTGACAAGTTCTCTAGGGAAATTTCGAGAAGAGAGGTCTTTTTCATGATGCACACCAAAGGCCCAACGGACTGTGGTCATGAATCAACCAGAGATGCCTAGATGCCCCCTTACATCAGGCTAAAAGTTTGGACATCATTGTGGTCGATGATGACATGAACGTGCAAGCAGGTAGGCTTGGAGCTCCCGAGACTGTCGTGGTGCATGTCTTGGCTTGAACAGGAGGCACACGGACAACAGGGAGCGCTTATTGCGTTTGTTGCCGATCATGAACTAAGTCTGGACGATGGCAACTTCCGGTGTGTTGGAGATCACAGAGTGCCCACCAGCCAACCAGCTCCGCACCAAAATGTATTACACTGTCATCCGCTACCAATGGCCAGGATTGATCATTACCTTGCGTTTTTTCAGGTCTACGCAAAATGTGTATACCTTGTTTAACAACTGAGAAGTTTACGGACCCCAAAATCAACGTATGAGAAACGACCTGTCCATTGCGACAGTAATCAATGCCATTCAGTACGTGCGAATGTTATCCGTCTGTTCGCTTTGAATGATCTAGTCAACGGCCCATTGAGTTTGGTGATCACCAAAATAATGTATTAGTAAACTTTGAATGTTTCGACCGGAGATCTCGTGCGAGACTTATTCATGATCAACATGGAATTCCCTGCTCACTTAACGCTCGTCTTCAGTATTGGATTCACACTGTCGCTTTCAGCTTCCATTTTCCACATGGTCGGTGCACAAGGCGTTTAGAGGAGGAGGAACAGGCTGGCGATGATGACCACGGTGGGGTTCAGTATTCGCCTAACGAGTCTATCAAGTGTTCATCGTGTTTACTATCTAACCTCAGCAAACAATCGGACGGCAACTACCCTCTACTATGTGCGAGTATGATCTGTGGGTGTTGCTTTCAGCGTTCCCTTGTAGTAGTAACCTTTTTCTGATTTGATCGCTTCAGCCTTTGAGATCTCGTTGCACTTCTTTAACGATCTTACAAGTGCATTTTGGTTTTTAAACCGCTAACACCATACTTCCACTTTCGTTTCAGGTTAGTGCCGTCAAAAAGGACGTGATCGTCTTGAATCAGGTTCCCGTCAAGTTCCAGGTTTGTTACAGTCTATAACACGTTTAGTCACTGTGTACGCTCGTATTTATCTTCTTATTGAAATGAGCTGGATAGCCGAGCCAATGGGTGACCCTGGGTTGTCCTTTGAAGTATTAATTTTGATGTAGGATAATTTGGCCAAAAATTGCAGTGTACAGACGATGGAAACTTCCCTGTGTTGCGGATATCTGGTACTGTTTCGCAACCGAATGTAAACAGTTTGCGTATAAGGTAAAAGAACGGAATTCTATCCAGAGAAAAGGGATTTAATAAGTAACGTAGCAATGTCGAAATAACCGCGCACTAACGAAGCAGAATGCAAAGTTATGGGAATGACTATTCTACATGGCTATCCTTTTTTCTACGACGAACTTATCTCCTAATCACATCAGGAAATAGCGGGTCGTAAAAGATACGAGGAACAACAGTCAGCTGTTGATGTTGCGTGTTCAAACGCCCACTTGTGTTTAGGCACTTCTGAGGGTCGTTTTTACGAGTATGTGGTTCTCAAAACCTTCGAGGAATCAGTGGTAATTTTACGATGCCCCACTTGGTTGAGGGGGTAAATTTTCCGACCTATGTGGAATCAGTTTTTTAAATGATTTTCGCTGCACGTGGTTACAGTAAGTGGATGTTCTTTATTAACCATCGCTCATTATCTCTACTTATTGCTAATCTCAGTAGATTCCGCTGTAATTTTATGGATAATGTTACTGGGTCTCACCTACACTATCCATGCATGGCCTGAACCTTCTTATCCTCGCTGTATGAGGGGATTATGAGCTATTGAGGGACGCCTCTTGCTGGTAGGTCATTCTGTGAGCATTAGCGTCAGCTTTCACCATCCTACTTCACTACAAAGAATCAGTTGTTACAGTTCGCTGAGGCAAGTGGCAGTCTGTGTGTTCAGAAACAGCTGATTACAGCCTTGATGTGTTGCCTTCATCTTTCGTCCGCTTTTTATCTGGAATAGAACCTCTAAACGAGCTTCACGTATTACTGGTTACTTGGCTATTTGGTACCGAGGGTCTAGTAAAAAATACCTGTGTGTACCAGTGTTTGTCTGCCATCTGTTACTCAAGTCCCACCAAATTAGAAACAGCTGATTACAGCCTTGATGTGTTGCCTTCATCTTTCGTCCGCTTTTTATCTGGAATAGAACCTCTAAACGAGCTTCACGTATTACTGGTTACTTGGCTATTTGGTACCGAGGGTCTAGTAAAAAATACCTGTGTGTACCAGTGTTTGTCTGCCATCTGTTACTCAAGTCACCACCAAATTGTGAATCCGTTTCACTAGCCTCTGCAAAATAGCGACGTTTTGCCGAAAAGTTCCGTGGTAATGGATCCTCCCGATCACGATCTCTTCAAAGCGTAGAGTTGTTCATGTTTCAAAGGAGCGGACAACATGAGTTGACGACTGTTGTGCACAACTGTACGGACACATGAGAAAAGTTGGTTCTAAATAAGCTAGGTATTGGTCTGTTCACCGAGTTTGGCCACAACCACGTGATCTCCAACCAATAACTCCATCCGGGTTACCAATATTTCGATAGATTGCCATTATCAGACGGACTAGTGTATGCCACTTATGTTCCGTCCCTTTAATTTTGAGCACCGGAAGTTTTATTGCTATGAGGCCCCTACGTGTTGATCAAGCCGGTGTGACAAACGTTGCAGGTGTCACATGACTTCAACTGGGACACTGTCACACCGCAGTAAACTTTGATGTGTTTGCGAGACGTGTAAATGAAACAACCTATTTCGTGATCGGCAATCATACTAATCATAAAAACGCTGTTTGGCTAGCCTGTACCTACCAGCTTTCAAGCACCATTCACACCCTGTTTAATCACCAGTAGTTCGTTCACTGTGGTGACCGAAACGACTTAACTCAATCTCCGTTACTTCTGTGTCCGTCGTCAGTAGGTCCACTATTGTCCTTTACCGTACTTCCGTCAACCTTGAGATGTTCTGCCAGATGCCCGATGTGTTTCCATTATTCCGCCAAATGAATTTCATTTTGTACTTTTTGACTTTCTTACCACATCCTCTTGAATATTATTCAGGTGAATTCAAATGAGCCGAAACTGCACGACCCCGTTTTGTTGCCATTTACGGGGATTGGACCAAACGGTGACGATGAGGAGCATTTCAGCGATGCCCCCGACTCTGCAGAGGAAGACGAACTTTCTGCAGTAAAGAGTAGCGAGGCTGTTCCACTGCCCACCGAACCCACGTTAGCCTCTTGGGATCACAGGGCACTTTCCAAGACGATAACAGGAAACCACCATAAGGACCATCCAACAGGACAGCGTTACCGTCCAGATGCTCGTGAACCTCTGTTTGCCCGAGCAGGTGGTCAACCTTCTTGGCCTCTTGTTCTCCTAGCATCCCATTCTCATCCTACAGTTGCTCTATTGGCCACTAATCTTCTTCAAGGAAAGTCTGTGGTATACACAGGAAATCCCTTCGACGACTTCTCTCTCGTACACTTTCTTGATCGGTTTGCATATAAGAAACCAAAAGCGAACGCCAAGTCCAAGCACAGTGAGCTAATCAGTCATTGTTCAGTGTTGTCACTTAGTTCGACTAATGTCGTTTATTCCACTTTCAGTGTTCTCGTTTTCTCTTAATTACCTCACACTTATTGGGGTCTAGCCGCTGGAAGTTACTCGTCTGTTGTAGGTTGTGCTCATTGATTAACACAGAACTGAAATTAAAAGAATGGGTTCCAACTACTGGTAATCTCCTTAGTAAGGGACTCAAAAATTACAGGCACATGCATTCAGTGACAGCTTTTCATTTGTCAGTAGGCGTCACTGAAATCTCCGTAAGAACTAGGGGCACCCCGCTAAGGGGCCGGTGGGTTAAAAAAACTCACCAGGGGGGACATCGGGGTTAAAAAAACTCACCAGAGGGGACATCGTAACGCCATGTAGCTGACCCTTTAATTTTTCAACCCTTGTTTTCTAGGCGCCCTTAGCCGGACGATCACAACCCGTGATCGTTTAATATGATGCTTCGACAAAAAGTATAATATGGCCTTTCGGATGGGCGAGATTATCACTGGGATACGTTCGTAATCCTGTGTACCTATTCCATAACGAAATATTGAGCTCTAAGGGCACCTGTCGACTGCCGTGTGCTGCATGTGGACATGTTATCGTGGGATTCATTCAGCTATCCTAACACAGATAGGCTGTATATGCGGGCTGCCTTCTAACCCGTTAGATAGCCTCAGTTGGTTGTGGTAATACACTAGAGGGTTACTTAGACAGTCGCTGATGAAGCTGGAATTGGATACAAAAGACGCATGTTATTCCATTAGAGGGTGTATATTTTCATTACCGAATTCTAGAAAACATTTGGAATACTACCAGGTGTGAAACCAATCCCCATAAAGACAGATGAATCAAAAGGATAAAACAATTCCTCGAGACCCGCATTCGCTTCTTTTATAGTCTTATCAGTTCGTTGATTCAGTAAAACAGTTTGGTCTATCTTTCGGTTTAATGCTATCCACATGAGAATTCACAAAGTGACAGAGTGACAATGAAACTGTGGTCCAAGTTCAATCGTGGTTTTCACTGCAAACTATTTAGTTGTAGAACAAACATGTTGTCGCAGATCCATAGCTGCCGTTGGGAATATTGTCTTATAGAAGTCAAGTAGTGACACGTGACGTCGTCTATATACCCAGCTCAAATATTCTAACCAGTTCACCGAGACTCAAGCCCGTCTACTCTCTATTCTGAACGGTCTATCCTTCAAGTGAGCTGTGGAGCTGTGTGTGGAGCAATCACTCCCCACGTCTTGTCTATTTTTAACCGATTATAGCCCTAAATTTTTCTTTGTCCTGGCAGCCGTTGTTTTAGAATATGTAATTGGTGCGGTTTGAGTGCATCAGTTCCCAAATCGGGCCAGTATTTTATTCTACACACAGGCTACAAACCACTATTCGTTGTTTTGGAATTTCCAAAAACTGTCACGATCCACACTGCCAATCGCCCTCAGATGCTGTGAAAAGCTGCTTGATATGTATAACGTCAGTTGCTTTCACTTTGGAAGGGATGAACGGAAATCCATCTGTATATCATTTGAGCTTATATTGTGTGTGGAAATCGCCTTACCATTCAAACCAGAAAGCCTATCCGTCGCTATTGAGTGTGCTTTTGCAGGCCCTCGAGCTATGTATCCGTCTTATGTGATAATCCCCGAAGTCTACTATTTGCTTTTGATGGTTTCTTTAAGATTCCGGTAGGAAAATGAGGGGATACTACTCGCATTCTGTTCGATAGCATCAGCATAATCGTATGCCTTCACACATGCGATGCCCGGGTTTAACTTCTTGCCGGGTATGATTCAGAAAATGATCAAATAACTTACCCTCATGATTCTATTCACATTCGTCTTCGTCGGATTTTTGGCGAACGGTCATCTCGGGTGTGAACACCAGTGAGTCAAACCTGCATATAATCGTACACTCGAACGGCCATCGCTTTTGGCGTTCTGTTCATCTCCCCAAACGTACATCGTCAGTTGTGTAACCCAGCATATTAATTGACGGCCGTCATCTCTCCCATGACATGGGATAGGCTGTTGAGATAGCAAAACTGTAGATTTCATACTTAACACTACCTAACACCCTTTTTCTAATGGATATCCCAGTGATCGTTGGTCACCAAATTTTATCCGGGCTATGTTAACTGTTTGCCAAAATCTGCGAAGGGAGGTATCGTTTGCGCAAAGTTGACGCTGTGTCTAGCTAAGACTTGGACTTTAGTGGAGAGTAAAACCTGACGAGTACATATTACCTGTGGGATGCTTCAATCACCTGAGTTTTCACTAGTTTTCATCGCATTATCCTTTCGCCTGATCAGATGCTCCACCTGGCCGTGTGGTGCAACGGAAGGCGGGAGTAACTCTTGGACCACGTGCTCTGCCAGTCAACAGTACCTCATTCCGTCAGATGTCGCTTGATCGTATCGCAGCGGATGAACAGTTCTTCCATAGGTAAGTTTAGTCTAGTTTAGTTTAGTTCTTAAACGGCGCGTTTTTGTATCTATCTACCTAGTATCTTCGTGATGGAATAATACACAGCACCTCAAGTTTCATGACTTTCTGGGGCAGTCGTTCGGTGGGTGCACTTTGGTACACAATCTAGCACATACACATGCAATTCTTATAATGTACTACCTAGTTAAAAAAGCAGTGATCTTCTGGATTGTTAATACTACTGCTTACTGAAGGCATTTCGTGTTGGGACAATTCAAGGAAATTACACTCGGTTTGCATTTTCGAACTCTTTGTTTGCTAGTCAGACACTTCTGAACAATACATGGTGACTCTAAATAAATCCCACTGAAAATGCGTGTTTTCACTTTTTTCCCCCAGAAAATCGTATCCCCCACATCCTCTGTAATATCCGTTAAGACCGAGCTCACGATAGAATAGCTTTGGGGGAGGGGAGAGCGGTTCAATCTGGATCCCGGACTACTTTTGCGCCACATATGCGGCAACCTCCTGAATGAGAGTATACACTAGTGAGTGGTTTATTGAACACCAGTGACTGCTTGGGAGACACGTGAGCTCGGTACGGAAACTGGAGTACTTTTTCAGCTACTGAAACAGTTCGTTCAATCCATACACGACTGATGCATCTGGTTGACCAACGCTGTGCTAGCCTAATGTCTGCAACCCTGCGAACAAGTGCATTGCGGGACCGGGTAAAGAGCATGTTGTTCATCATCTGAAACAAATTTCCCAGTTTTCATTCGTGGTGGTGGTTGTATTAGGGGAAAACAGCACCAACACACAGCACTTCTCGACATGTGATCAGGATCACCAGACACCCGAAGAGCGAACGTCGAAAAATCTGGGTCGGTTCCGAGATGTTTGAGGTGTATGACCGAACTGGTATCTTGTATGCACGTTTCGGACATAGCATACAACGACCGAAAGAAAAATCAGGTCTGAGCACAAAATGCTTGTTATCCAATTTGACATAGAGTACGGACGCTGAAAACCTCAATGCCGAACAGATCCTTTAAATTTGGTTAGGATTTATTTCGGTTTATTTTGCTGAGCGGGAGTTTAGATATAGAGCAGTGGTTGGGTATTTGACAACTTAGTTGAAGGACGTGCGGGGAAGTATAAATGAATGAAGAACTATAAGAGCGAATGATATTTCCAAGGACCAAGAAAGGGGTTTGTTTAAAGCACCCCATCTTAAGCTCTTGGTTAAATGACCCACATGATCATGGGAGAATGTATGATTGAGTTCAGAGAACCTTCCCCTGGCGCCAGTTGTTAGTGTTTGCTTGAGGGGCCCTTCTCCGATCTCATGACTTAATAGTCTGACCCACTGGGTTGGAGAGGGCTGGCTTAATCCGGTGACTTAGGGAATAAGCCATAGATGCTACATTGCTGATGCTAGTGTGCGTAGCAGACGCGTCCCGAGCCGCATGGGCTTCCTGATATGTTTTATTAATATTTTGACCGTATTAGATTGTTCCCTGTTTGTAATGGTCAAACTGGGCGATATTTCTGGCCTACATCTCTAGTTCGTCCTTCCTTGGAGGAAGGTGGCATCTGCTTCCATAATTGTAAAAAGGTTGTCCGTCTGAGAGGAACTGCTTATTGTTCTCCCACTCCTGCCACAGTGAACAGTATTATCGGACTGTCTCGTTGTACGGGGACATCGTCTTCTTCGTGAGACTGATCTGTATTGACCTTGTTGGTAGGATTGAACCTTAAGATACTTGACTTCAACCAGTCCAACTCACAGGATCATCGAAACACTGAAGGAAGTTGATGGCTTTAGCTTGCGATTTGTTGCAGTAACGGAGGTGTCCGCATTCCATTGCCCTTCGCCAGATATACAAGACGCCGGTGTTCATCCGAAATTCAGGTGCACAACGAGACAATTGAACTGCGAACCAGTACTACCAGTGCTTCCTTCTGGTGGTATGGAAGTTAGGCACCGAAAGGGTGCTACAGCAGAACGATTTTTTGTGTGAACCGGTGAGCGAAACCGTACGAACTGAATGTGTGCAAAATTGTGCCACGTGGTGGTGATGCAGACACGTTAAGTGGAAAATGAAGAGCGGAAACAGGAGCCAATCGTCCACTTATTGACGAACGTGGACCAACCACAACAGTGATTCGCTGTTGGTCAGATAAGTGGTCCCTCAACGCTCAGGGTAAATGCCCTATTGCATTCCTTTTCACGTGCAATTCTCCCAATATGGTTACTAGCGTATGGGCAATATACTGAATGAGTACTAATTATGGTGAACCTCCCTATTCCTGCACGATTTTAAACGTCCATGTGATCCTACATGTAATCCACATAAATCCACACATATAGTCTAGATTATTCTGACTATTTCCACGGTTGAATCTTCGAATTCCGGAGAGGTGTGGTGATTGGTGAAGTCCTCGGTGCCATTTCGTAGATTGGGCAACCACATTGAAACTATGCACCCTAGAATATCAGGAGATGGAGTTTACGTTCATCGGAAATTTATGGCATGTACACACCTACAACTATGTGATTTGGTAGATTGGGCAACCACATTGAAACTATGCATCCTAGAATATCAGGAGATGGAGTTTGCGTTCATCGGAAATTGATGGCATGTACACACGTACAACTATGTGATTTGATGAAATTAAAGTTGAAGACTCGATCACTTTCATATAGTTTCCTGGTTAACTTTTTGGGATGTTCCTAAAATGTAGCATTTGTTACCAGGATTCCGCTTTCTGCTATGATTAACGGAATGCATCTTATGACCACTGCAGCTCACTTGAGTCACTTACTGGGCTTGCATGTTTGTACTCAGAGAGTGCTACTTCTGTAGCACAAAAGTGTTTGCATCTGTGATTTTGAACAATGATGACGACATCGTCTGCTTTTGTATCACAGGATGACCTTGGGCTTTCCGTGAACCAGAGGCAGAAATTGCAGAACACGCAACTTTATTGTTGAGACAATTCATGATCCTGAACAAGTCTTTTCTCTAGATGTGAATTGTGTACTTGGGTAATCAGTCGAGTTTATAGTGAAATATTGGATAAAATGTCTGGGAAATGAATCTTGAGTAACCAAACGCGACTTATGTAGCCAATTTCACAGTGCCACATTCAATGAGACGGTATTCCTGCATGCTACTGAAATTACGTCCTTCACTAGTAGCTTGGTGTTCCTCAGTACCCTCTCTGGACGTCTCTATGGATAGTTTCTTGCGAGGACTTAGTTCTTTTTTAAGTAGCGCTCACGGACCGATGTTAACCTTATCAGAAATGTCTGGAACTAGTGGTGACCCCGTTCATGTAGCTAAGATCACCGAGAAACAAAGTGGTCATAGTGTAAAAAGTCACTCCTGAACTTTTTATTAAAGTTACAGAAAAAAGAATGATGGATTTTCCGAAAACACACTGTTTATTTTCGACGTCCTGTGCTCCATTATCGGCAGTGTGCTTTCACTTATCTCGAAGACTGCGGGTTTTGACAATCAGTCATTAAGACCCCCATCCCAATGATGATCGGGTATACCCCTGTGAAGCAACCGTTCGGCGTTTTCGTGCACAATGAATAAGATGGAAGCTAGAGCATTGGAAATAAGCTAAATAGAATCCAGGTTCTAACGGACTTTGGAGATGGTAGTCGTAATCTGAGTTATACAAGATGATGAAGAAATGTCTGGTATTAGTACCCATTGGGTTTAGTTTAAAGGATGCCAGCCAATAGTGCACAAATTAGGTACTTAGTGACTGTCTTACAAACAAGAATAATGGGCTCAAAACAACATGACTCCGGAATACGACAGAAGTGACATTCCCTCCGTTCACGGCCGTTCCCCTCATCTGGTGGATACGGAGGCCACATGAGTAAACACTCACACAACTTTGTCGAAGTGGAAAAAGTGACGCAACAGTGATTTTTCATATCCCCCTGATCGAATAGTGAATTTTTCAAGCATTATGATATGTTTGGAATACCCTGAAGTTGGCTTCAGAAAATCAACTGTTAGAATCAGTCAATCAACCTGCAGGAGAGAATAGAATGAGTCCTTTTCGGTTTTTGGATCTGACAGTCAAAAATTTATGAACGAAGAGTGTGAGTTACTATGCTACTACTGATGTTGTTTTTTCACTAAGGAATTTTGGAGTTATCCTGTGTATTAGGTTATTTCTTTTTTATTGGTCGAGCATTTCCTCAGTTGACTTATAGAAGGCTGCACTATCTCATTTCCGTGTGATACCCGAATAGCTTGTCTATTGGTCAGATATCAGTTATTCTCGCATTTGGCATAGTGCTGACAAAATCACATAGTGGTTAATAACCTTCGGCTTTATTACCACTCGAAGTGTACAACGTCTCCATGGCAAGCGCTGGTTGTTTGCTTTGTTCATTTCACTAGACTTGTCCTGCTTGCTGTCGTCACTATCCACTGTTCTATTCTCTTCCTCCCTCTGTAGCTATTTTACATTTTTAGCATCACGAACCGGCAAAGTGGCGAACAAAAGATCCGGTAGTGGGGAAGAAAGTGACGGTTCAGTATCTGACGACGAATTTGACGCTTATTTGGGTGAGTTTGAGGGTTCCGGATGACACGATGATATTTACCTTTGTGGGGCAGCGTGTCTCATTGATAAATTCAAAACAAACGACGTTAAACGACAATTAGACAAATTTGCGAATGCTCGTGACGTTTTACTTCCTTCATTCAATTAAATGTGGATTCCAGCATATAGGAAGTGATGTGGCTAGGGGTCAGAAGCCTGCGAGTTTTTAGGCATACAAAGCTGGATGGGTTTACTAATAAAGACCGGATACAGGGTGACAAAAGGAATAGGTTAGTCACGAACGAATGTCACGAGGAGATAGTTTTTTCTCGGAATATGTGAAAGGGAAAACTCAGGTACGAACCATCTCTCTCCGAACCTACAAGTTCGGTTTGAGACGTCTGATGACCATAAATTCTCCCTAGTTCAAGATGATCCTCTGTCTATCAAGCTGATTGAAAGTGCAGCTTCTTGCGCTAGCTATTTCTCTTGGGATTCCGCTGACCGAAACGAATATACTTTTAGGCAACTGTTCACCAGTACGAATGTCTTTCCGCCTTCACACTCACGGTAACATTTGTAAGCCCAGTTTGATGTAAACAGAATAGATAGTTTATCTTTCACGGGCGGGTGCGACAATTTCCAAACGGATGCACTCTTCTGTTTGGTAGTGAACTTAGAGTGGAATAGTTTCCTTCCAAAGTATCGGGGTTACTGTTCTATTTTGGACAATCGCATATACTATCTTTCGCATCAAATCCAATATAGATCCTCCCTAAGTTTCAAATGTATACATATTTTGTCCATCTCAGTGAACAGTACTTGCACGACAGCATTCCAATGACTGTACGCACATCTCTAAGCTGTTGGGCTTCTGGTTGCGGATTTATCTGGCTCTGTTAAGTCGGTTGTAATTAACTGTATCAGTTTCTTTCAATAGACGGGACGTATCACGTGAGAGGTACCAAGTGTCATGCATCGTTGCATGGAGCATCTTAAACTCTTCGAGAACACATTTAGAAAGACCTATCAAGTAATTATGAAATAACCTTTGTGAATCTCTCGGAACTGTCCCATACCCGAATGCGTGAATGGACATCCAGCAGGCATTTCAGTCTCATGGTTTTCGTGTATCTTCCACAGCTAAGGAATGGTTTGATTCGCACGTCAAGGGTAGGGTTACTGTAACTATCTAAAAACTTAATGTACGCAGTTCCAGTTAATGAACACAAAACCAGATCTGTTTACCTGTTGTAAGAAGCATATGCTTGGCGCACGTATCCGGAATCCCTTGTTGCCGCCATTTCCTCGGGTTTGTGGGAACCAGGAATCCTGGTCACTGGACTCAAGTGCCTCGGGGGGTGGGGTTGTCCGATCTGAGGGAGAGCAACACAGATTTCTTTATTTGCACCTACTGATCACACGCTCACAAACCTGTGGAGAGAGCGATGACGGTGGATTCCTGAGCAATGGTGCATGCGCCAAACACAACTTAGTCCGGGTGCCTATTCGTCCGATGTGGCGCGTTGTAGATGCTCGTAAAACTTAGCACTGCTTTGGGAGATTCGGCTGAGTCACAGCGAGCTAAACCAAGAACTGTACACTGGGATGCCCCACTGACACTGAAATTTAACCCCCGCCACCCACTCTGTCTTGGTTTCCTTTCCGATTGCGCATTCTTACTCTCCTTCCTCCCGCCATAGTTCAACACCGCTCTTATGGGCCTATGTTGCAGAAGCTATTGTTTAATGGTTTCTTAAGGTTCAGAACCTTTAGCTTATAACTGCATGTTGTGATCATTGTGGTCGGCTTAATGGTTTGAACGCGGTATTTTGCCCCTTTTGGAGAAAGTCGATTGATGAACTTTAGTGTACTTGTAGGCGCACTTCTCGAATGCACTGTGAACTGTATGACATTTACAGATGAGTTTGTTCTAATTTCCTCTTCGGTTTTTGTTAGTTTAATCTTAGGAACTATCACCCCTCAGAAGAGGCCGCTTTCACCCATCCTTTCAGTTGGTCGCTCCACAGGGAGTGACAGCGTTTTCTTTCAATGTTGACAATAAACCGATTCCTATAACCCGCAGCCAAGCAGTCCCAAGCTTAGATACCGTACTATACGCTCAACTTGTTACATTTTTGCTTCACTTTTATCCAGCCACCTATTTTACTTTATTATCGTCCACTTTTTTTTCAACGAAGAGAAACACGAACGCGGACTTATTCCAACTGGTGACGAGCTTGATGATGAAGGTAAGGAATCCACAATCTATTTTTCATTATAGGTCCCATAAAATTCGGCTTTTGCTCGCCTTTCTGTGAAGTGTGGCGAAAGTTGTCCAGCGTCTCTCAATTGTCCGATGGCACATACAGTAACCTCTTCGAATAAAGTCACCATAGTTACCTCAGTTGACAAATCTCACTACCATTAAGCTCACCTTAATGAACATATGCTGGGAGCAGATTGGGCCTATTCCTGACTAACCGAAGCTGTCCGTCCCCTCGATGCTCTGCGCATACGAACCAGCTCCAGATACAATCTAGTCGTGCATCCGTCGGCTCTTGATGATGCGGACGAATCGCCGACTGTCACATTAGAAGATTTCATTCATGCCGTCGCCGTTTTCTGTGGCGCCTTTCGGGGCCGTGCCAAATACTCACACCTCGCCTAGACATTGCGGAGTTCGCTTACAGCCGAACCAGTAGATACCACCTTATTTCCTGGACTATGCTACCTGTGAAACTACAGAACGTCGACTTATGTTGAAACACCGTTGGCTATATCGAAGACTTAAGTTTGGGCTATTCCCATCCCACCTCGGGCCGTTAGGTGTCGAGTGTGCTTGTCAAGAAGCTTCTTAGTTTGAGAGAGCTGAAACAATGGAGTGGGGTAAAGTCATTCTAGCTGGTCCGTGCAGTGGGCCCCAAATTACTTGATAAATGACGAAGAGGATCCGGTCATTTCAGGAAAAGACGGATGCCTGAATCACCGACTGAGCACCTTATTCAACAATCCCTCCGTCTACCTACTGCTGTTCCGTCAGATTTTTGGCCTCTCACAAAAACACCGGATGTTAATATGGGAACCTCTGATGGATTCCGAATTATGTGCACGTGTTTCCCCACTCAAATATCACCATATTTAGTTCATCAGTTGAGTCCCTGTCCTGGGATATGGTGGCTGACGCACGCAGCTTGCATGTTCCAAAGATCACAGGTGGTATTGAGGTATCCGGTTACGGTCAATGTGTATCAGCTTCGTAGGCACACGGAAATCTCATCAAGTAGGAGTGCTACTGGCGAACGTAAATGTGTATCTTTTCGTTGTTTTAATTCACGGCTATCAAGGCGTATAGCAGCTACTCATATGCCGAAAACGCCGTATCACCAGTATTCCGCCCATATCCACTTGCCCCCTATTGGTTTAGATCTAACCTTAGGCGGCGTACAACACATGATTGCTATATTTCGATCGTGGTATTGTTTTTGGTTTCGAAAAGATATCCTTTTTTCAAAACTGGGATTCACAGTTCTTCCGCATATGTGAATTGTTCTATTCTGACTTCTTAGTGAAGCTGTTTTGCCAGCCATGGTTACTTTATGTAAACATTGCCTGTATGTCATCGCATCTTAGGTAAGTGATTTTCTAAGTTTTTTCCGCAATTTCTTTAGGGGGGTCACGATTCACATTGGCTCATTTCATGGGATTTTGTGCATCGAATTGTGGTAGTTCGTTGACAGTGGAGTGTAGATTATTACTATATATTATATATATTGTTACTATAGCAGAACACGAAAAGAAGTGAATGAGAACCGCTTGTAGCCAAACTGTCGTTTTATCCGTTTTTACGGTGTTTCCAACTTGGTTAATTACAGACATGGATGAACTCGATGTTTCATACCACTGCAAGAAAAAGAAAAGATCTTCGATACCTTATCCTGATGACGAGGAGCTCAGCGGGGATGATGATGATGATTTCTCGGATCATGTCGGTGCGTATGAAGAGGAGGACGGTGATGATGGATCAGATGATGAATTCACACTCAATAATCCGAAGAGGTAGAGAACGGCTGCTGTTTTTTTATTTTGCTGGATTTGTCTTGTATACAGTTACGAGTTACTTGCACTCCTATGATGACGTTTTTACACAGAGTCTTAGGAAATAGAGTAATGCAACAGAGCGAGAGAGAGAACTACATACTTTTCACAATAATCATACGGCTACGTACCTGAAAAAGTGTATATAGTAGACCAACGGTTCCAGATTCAAGTCAGATAATCTTTGATATGAACCGACTCGTGTTAACAGCATGCCACCGGCGCATAGTTGCTCCAATATGGGGAGAATTTGTTTGGAATGACCGCACTCCTGAACTTTGGGTGTAGTGGTGGATGTCGTTTTAAAAGGCTCTACGCAAATCGCCTACGGCTCTCCAACTTTATGCACACGTTCACTGGTGGGTTGGTGTCGGCAGATAGAAAGCGCATTTTCGGCTGTGTCCATTGAAGAATGTGTCCAGCACCAGAAGCTGCGATGGTTGAGACGTGTGTTGCGTATGCCGAACCATCGTTTGCCAAAGAGAGTGCTGTTTTCCACGCCAAGCGCAGAGTGGCGTAAACAGAGAAACCCTTAGCTTGACAGAAGGGTATGAAGGAGATTACGAAACGCTCGGGTGCTGTTGGTGTTACTCGCCTTCCAGGATGGGGACCTCGTGATCCTCACTGTGCCTGGTTGGAGACACGACAAGATATGGCTGCCAACCGATGTCAGTGACGTTCTTATTGTCAGTTTCTATCCAGATTGCCTGAGTGAATGTCTGGAGGTGTAGGCACCTCGGAATGATTGTGGTAAGCTAGCAGTAAGTCCCTTCCTTGTTCACCTTTACTCTTTTCTTTACAATAAAGCTTTCAAATAAATCATGGCTGTATGGCAGTGAAGCGTCGGTGTTGAACACTGATGTCATGCTGTCGATGACGATGATTCCTAATCATTCGAATAGGGTGACTTGGTCAACTGAAACTTGGTATCGTAATCGCCCTAAGCGTGGTACACACGATGTTCCCCTTTTCTCGAACCAAATTCTTCAGATCCTTTTCGAATTAGTGAATTGCAATGTGGGGAACGGTGTTTCCAAGTTTCGAAGCAGCGGTATCAATCTCATAACTTGGTGATTGTTGCAACTTTTTGAAGACAGGAGCAACGGTGCTCTTAGATGGTTCAGTGGGGATCAGTTCTCTGACTTAGATTTGAACTAAGTGTTACCAGACTGTTTGATATAACTCCACCGTTAAACAAGACGGATTAAATTATCCGGTTCGTTGGTAATTCCCAATCACAGCACTGGCCTTCCCGTCGAATTCACAATCACATTTGATATCGTGGTCTAACTTTCATTCTCGATCATAGTCCACTGGCCTCACAGTGTGTTGAGTCACTCGTCATCAAGACACTCCTAATGTTTATTCAGTCAATGCCAGCGAAATTTTGAACCAGCCAGATTTTTTCTACTAACCGAATATGGGCTATGTGGTCGCTTGTCTCATTTTATTGCTTCCATCTGTTGCGTTTTTTCAGTTCCTCCAGAATTTCAGATTTGTTTGCCAGCGCCGATGAGATTGGGCATTTGTACGCTGCGCAAGAAACTGAAAGAGAACGCCGACAGAGGCTGTGGGAACAAAAACGTGCAGCTGATCTGTCACCTCGTTCCTCTAGATTCAATCGGAAGCGTGTTGGTGGCGGAAAACCACAAAAACCCGGACGCATGCCAACCCAGATAAAGAAGAGAGGCAGCAAGCGAAGGCGTCATGTATAAAGTTACGCTAATGCGATTGTATCTACTGTTCAGTTTGATTACACCGTTTCGGTACTATCATTTTCTCCTCATATGGCTGGGTATCCCATCACCTCTATCGTCTTACGTGCATTGCGCGAAATCGTCTATTTTGCTTGCCTGCGCTAGGTGCTCGAAATTCTAATCGAAGACTAGCTTAACACTTTTGCCTGTTCTGCCGAATGTCGTGTGGTAGTGTACGGAGATTTGAGAATTTCCAATGGAAGACTTGGTCCTTTAACGAGGTCAGTCTATGCTGAAAGGTAGGTAAGCACTGTACGGCTGTTTCATCCTTCTTGGTAACCAGCAGCAATGCACATCTCGCGAAACTTACTGGATTTCGAACCCGCGACCTCAGAACAAGAGGTTCGAACACGTGATCGTCCGGTAGGGAGCGGCTGACATTATATTGCACCCATACAGCGTATAACCACTCCTCCTTGACACTAATTCTGCAGGCTGGTTACAAATTCGTGGGAGTAGGTATCCCAGTCAGCAGGATCATTGCAGTAGCTGTCGGAGTTCCAATTTTGTCCAGTGGTGCGTGGCTGGTAGGGAGTTTGGCTGGACAACTACAGGTTACCTGGTAGAATTGTTGAAACTGTTCGACCCAATGATTCAGCGCAGTTCTTTTTTAAAGCTAAGTAAGCCATTGTCGTCGGCGACGGTTGCGCTCACCAAAGGTATCTGGGCTCGTAGCGCATGTCTCGTGTCGGATTGTTCGTAGGGTTGTAGTGTACCCCGACCAGGAGGAGTGCATGTCCAATCTTGAAGTAATTTTGGAGTGTTTCTGGGGATCCAGTGCTCGGATGTGGTTAGTTGTGCTGTTGCGCAATCGAAATGCCCCACATCTTGTAGTCTTACGCCAACCACGTATGTCTTGCGATCAGGCCTTTGAGCCAAAGGTCTGTTTTATCCCTGGGGCATGATAGTATCTTAACCCACCCACAACCATAAAGTGCACATTTACAATAACCTAGAATACCGCTCCCATTCCGACATAACTTCAACTTCCGTGTTTGCCTGACTGGTGTGAAGACAGCGGGTTGTCTTGTCTCCCTATTATCTGATTTTGTCGGTCTGACTGGCCGCACTTCATGCTAGCAGGTTCTCGAGGCTGCATGCAGCTCGTCTCCTCACCCGGAAGCCTGTTAATAAATCTGACGTCGCGGCTCGGTTTTTATCTTGTATTGCCCCAAATCGCTCCAGAAAAACTATTTTCCATTACCACGGTTACCAAATCTAATTTCTAGATGCAGCGTAATATTGGTGGATACTTTTGCGCTCTGGACAGACAGCGATTTTCCACCCAACGTTCTCGTTTGATTCCAGACATTTTGAATTCCGGCATTCGTTTGTATTTCAAACTCTTGTCTGTCCTTCCGTTACTCTGTGCGTATCTATAGGGTTCAAAGAATCCCAAATGAAGGGAGCTATACATGGCAGCATTTCAGCATGCATTGTCTGTTTTTGAAGTCTCCAGGACTATACTTAAGTTCCACTCGTTCGCGATTTGCATACTTGAAATTGTCGTTTCAGTATATGAACGTTCTCTGTACTTGAGGTGACTGTTGTAACGGTAAAAGTATGCATACGAATTCATGTTAGAGAGACGGAGATTTGAAATTTTTTCGATTATCGAACAGAACACACATTGAAAACGAAAAGATCCTTGGATAGGACTCGAAACCATAATCTCCCACATATCGGATGAGTACTCTACCAACTAATCGGCCCCAAATCTTGTCCCACGCCGCATATTCATTCGCCACACTGCCCGATCGATCAACCATTTCTCTCGCAGTGTCACCATCGAGCCCTTCGTGTGACTACCAAATTGGGCCAAACGTCGAACCCACGCTCTCTATTAACCCACTGTTCAGTGTCAAATAAGTGTATTGTCTAGGCGGTAGTATGCTGACAGACTTGGGTGTATGTATAACTATAGTGGGATCATGTTTGGGCCGACTCATAGCGTGCAACACGAGCCTCTACATGTTCGCCCACCGGTTTTGTTTCCTTGGATCTTGGAGACGCAAGGGCTCGCAAGTAGTACCCTATCCGGGTTTGTACCGACCTCCTGTGGCTCCTCAACTACGCGTGGGCATCCAGTAGTTTGGCCATCATATATATGGTGTCCCAGAAAAGACTGCATCCCAACTAAGGCCATTTCACCTTGGTCCTCGGTTTGTAAGCACATAAGGAGTGATCATGGAAGGCACGACTACGTGCACCAAGATGTCGGTTCTAAATGAACCCAAACCATCTCGGTTTGTTTGCACAGACCTAAGAACTACGGTTCACAGATCTGCTGTAGTGAGCGAAGATGTACATAGACAGCGTTTTGCATGATAGTGAAAAGGTTTCATTCCCGGAACTGTAGGGGTGACAATCCATCTCGGTACTTTGATAAGCAGGACTGATTGTCAGTTTCCAACTAGTTCGCTCTAGAAGGACTTCTCTCCAGTTCTCAGAGGTTAACTTTGGAACTGAAGCCTTGTCGTTTTCGCAATACATCGTGACAAGAACAATGCAACATTTCTGAACTGGGGTGTTTTGTGTTTTAAGCCACAGGTACCTGAACAATTTCGTGAATACGAAATTGTTCACTGAGTGGGTGGGGGCCAATAGCATACTCCATACGGCAGACAAGTACAATGTTTCCCCACTGTTGAGTGTCTTCTAGTAGGACCATTTCTGGTTGGTCTCCTGGGGGTCCACCGAATGGTCAGCTCCCCACCCAGAAGGGACCAATTGTCGAAACTTGGGCAAAAAATGGTCTTCTCAGCATTTCAGCTGCAACAAATAGCTAGAAGCTGGGTACCGCCTGACGATGGTTGTAAACCAGTTGCGTCGCCTGTAAGCATTCTATATAGTCGTGCATAATTAACACCCCTTTGGATAGCTTCGATGTTGGAGTTGCCGATAACTGGAATGAACGCCCAAAATGAGGTGACAAGCACAACCTGGCCAACTGAGAGTATGCGTTTATCACTGAACCGTAAACCATTTGTAAGCGACAGACTTGTTTTATCAAAATCTGAGATTCTATGAAGAACGGTTTAGGATGACTCCAGTCTAATAACTATTAGGTACTGCCTAGCCGTCGAAATGCGGTCAAGCAAATCGTATAAGACAAATTCGTTGCTGAAAATTGTAGCGTGCGTTTTTCACAAAAGAGACGATCCAGCATGTCCGTCTCTACCTGATCGATACCGCACGTTCCCATGCTGACACCTACCTCTATTGTATAAATAAAACCGTTCAGCCGTAGCACCCTTCCGGTGCCTAGCTGCCATGCCACCCGGAGGAAGCACGAGGGCTGGGATACTTCAAGATCGCCCAGGCCTAGACAGGGGAAGTCGAGTGACAGTGGTCAGGTTACGAACCACAGACCTGTTGGTTACCATTCCTTCAACGTTTATCTTCGACCACCGAATGGACCCTCATAAGGAGGTTGTAATGAGTGTTTGACGCGGTTACAACGGATGAAAACGTGCGCACAAGTGAAGAGGTCAGGAGAAACATAGGACGGTTTGTTAACCATTGGTGGAGGATGATAGCGTAGACGCGACAGACCTTCCGGTCAGTAAATTTTGGGCTCTAACCACTTGCGCCATCTCGCCCCGGGACGCTGAGGTTGGGTCTGGTCCACGGACCTTCCGTTCCGCAAGCTGACGCCTTAACCACTGAGCTGTCTCAAGCACAAAGTGGTGCCGCGACCCCTATCACGCCTTTATCGAAAGCTACGGTCGTCCTCAAGGTTGCTCCTCCTGACTAGTTTTACTGTGTTGATGAATAACCTTCGTTGACAAGCATGAATTGCGTTCATTGGGCTGTAACCGACAAGAGAGTTTACTGTCATCGAGTCCATTGTCGGCTATCAGAAAGGTCGAGAATTTTCCACAGATCGGCACAGTGTACGGGGCGAAAAGCAATCGTATTCCATATCGCCAATATTTGTTGCAGAGGCCAAGAACCAATCAGTCGGAGAAAGTCAGACAGATTGAGAAGTCATTGTTTTAGAAGAGCTTGGTCAACAATCAGTAGTTTAATTTTTGGAACCAGCAAGACCAAGAACCAGTTTTTTCGCATTTTCTTGAGAGCCTATTGCGCGTGGGTGGTAGGGATAGGGACACAATCAACAGCGGTTCTACCCTAAATTTTAAGTTTAACGGAGCCTTTTCTATGGTCAGTCGAAACCGGCCAGTTTCGTTTCCTTAGAGATGAATTGGACAGGAAAATGATTGGACAACTAATTGGCTGAGCTGGAAGGCTGGACACCAGGTGCAGGACACTATCAAAAGGGGCGTCGCCGAATTTATGGACTTCCGGTAAGTCCCTCTCAAATCGGACATCCATTAAGTACGAATATCACTGCATCCGCTCAGCACCAGATGGACTCGTTCCTAACTGTCTTTCACTCTAGCGTGATCCACCGTAGTTAGCTATAACTTAATGCTCTATAGAGGAACTGTCAGTGAGTGAACGATTCTGATCGGTCCCGTGAGAGGTCTCTTTTAGGATACCACCATAGTCGAAAACTGATAGTCCATTCTACCAGTCCTCCTCTCGATGTACGGCTGCTCATTGCCGTCTTCCTGGATGGGGACCCCGAAATGGGCCATATCAATGGTTAGAGACATTGTCAGACATGGTCCGGTCGCGCACTCAATGGCGCTCATGCATCCAAGCTATTACCTTCAATGCATAGCTCCATTCCCAACCCCCCCACACACACTTAACAGTCCACCAACAGCGCTGTATTTACGCACTAGTTTATCAGCTCCCGCCTCTAATGCGCAGCTGCCTACCCCACCTCCCCGAATAATCAGTGAACGAAACTGTGACAGCTACAGCCATTGTACGACAAGTATGCGGTTATTACAGCTGACAATGATGATGATGATGACGCTGTATGGGTAGCTTGTCCGAGGAACGACCGTCTCGTTTGAGAAGAATGGAAGGCCGATTCGTGAGAAAGGTTATTGAAAAGAATACCGAACGAGTAACAGGCGTTGAATGCATGGAGACCAAGTCACAGCAATAAGCTGTAGCCTAAGGCATAGATATAGAAAAAAGCGTCATCATTTTCATTACTACAAGCTTATTTATCAGTATCTCCTGAGAAATTCAGATCAGGCAGGAAGCAAAGTAATGAGAGGATATATAGAGGAAACAAAAAGGTATTGGAGGAAGTCAATGCTCATTATCAGAAGCGAATAGAAGGGAGTGGATGGTGTAAAAATAACGAGGAAATTCACAGCGTAAGAAAATAGCATTTGTCCAACCATTATTGTCTGGGAATCCATGAGCGGCACATTAAGATTGATCATATAAATGGCTAACTGTTCACGAGATGGGCCTTGTCTACCAGGTGTTTGCGGGCTAATCCCACCACCCAGTTTAATCCACTGAGGTTAGGCGTTTGCGCTTTATTCATCGGAGCTTTGCAAGATGATATATGGGATTTGGAAGCGAAATTAGCTGTTGGTATACTGTAGCGATTTCTTTTCTTGTCGACTGAGGTAGCTAAAAGAGTACAGAAGAACTATTTTATCATTTAGAATACACACGTTGTGAGGGATACTGAAAGAGTACCCCGAATAGTATAAGAACACGGTAGGTATTTACAACATGCAAACTATAAGACATTCAAACAAACTGATGACAGAGTGCAATCATATCGACATGCACTCAAAGTCAGTCGTAAAATGAACAACGAAAAACCTGCACGCAAATAAGCGGACAAGACAAAAGGAAAGAAAAAGTACACTGCAAGAAACGTCAAGTAGTCTTACCCAACAGGCTTAGGTATTTCCTGCAGAAAATAATCCAAAGCAAGCGGACGTAACGGATCAAAAGGGGAACATCTATTACAGCGCACTGAGAACATTGACTAAACTATTCCGTGGTGCCTAACTCTTGATCATAGCCTTCACGCTGTTTTGTTTGTGCTTCCACACCGAATCTTACCATTCACACTGCTGGGGAAAAGTGGTTAGTCTAAATTTAAATGTGCATGTTGGTCATATGAGACAAATCAGAAAATATAGCGACAAATAAGTGCGACATCTATCACAAATACATTTAGCCTCATGCTAGCACCAAATGACTCAACTAAGTCTGACGCCTGGGGTGATACAATTTTCTTCAAGGGAAATCCATACCGTCTGAGGTTCCCCAGTCGTCGAATCAAATCGTTCAGCCGTAGCACCCTTTCGGTGCCTAGCTACCATGACATCCGAAGGTTGCACGAGGGCTTGAATACTGCCAGGTTGCCCAAGCCTAGGCAGGGTAAGTCGAGAGGCAAAGGTCGGGTTTGAACCACGGACCTTCCGGTCAGTAAATTCGCGCTCTAACCACTTGGGCCATCTCGCCCCAAGAGCTTCGGGAGCTTATAAATTTTCTTCCGGCGAAACAAGGAATTTCTTCGTCTTTCAGCTACAACATCGTGATCAGAAGTTGCAACTCTGATGAGGGAACGATCAGCGGAAATTATACGTTGTGCAGCACAGAGTATCACCATTAAAGACTACTTTGGGAGTTAAGTCATTACTGAAGAGGAATTTGTGCTATTGGGATGACTGTATCAAGTACGAATTAACTGTGGAGTAATACGCACCAATCAAAACACGTAACATTCAAACGTAGAGCATAGTGTGTTAGCATGCTCATACGGGCAAAAAATAAAAGTGATGAGTCAATATTACACGAATGGAGTTCACCTCAGTCCGGCCAATAGATGTCCGATGTTCCATTTTTTCAATACGAGACATCTGCGTTTAACAGAAAGCTCTCAACATCACCTAAAAGTTTCTACATCCAGCTAGATAACTTGCAATTCAAAGATGCTTGGGTGAGGTGGTTTTCACATTAGATCAGCGAAAATTCCATTGTGAGTAAAACGCTCAACGTACCCACGTTAACACACGAAGCTTGATATCCTATTCCCCCTCGGATATAGCTCCCCTGACGCTGATGTGGCTTGGCTGTCAGTGGTTCTCTCGACTTCCCACCGGACACGTGTCTTCTCACAACGAGATGCATCGTGTTTCCGCCAGCTTGAATGATTTCGATCGCACGACCGTGAGACATACCAACCGTAGAGCAGCCATTGATTTGCACAAGCTCATCACCAACCTGAAATCAAAACATTGGATACTGCTGAGCTCGAATATTAATATTCCTGCTACTTGGGTTCCAAGTCCCGAAAAACAACTACGTTGACACAGCCCCAACCGACACTAGTGAGGAAAACAAGCGAAAATCGCAAAAAGAAAAACGTTGTTGTTCATCCTTACCTACGGAAAAGAGGCAAAAGACAAAAAAGAAAACAAACCTGCAATCGCCCATCCATTTTGGCAGCACCACCATCTGCAATCCGTAGAACTACAAGTGGCATTCGGTTGAACTCCTGACCACCGCGGATGGAGAATCCGAACCCATTACCTCCACGGAATAATGTGACTGGGAATTCGAGAGGGTGAGTGCCCAAGTTGGATCGTGTGCATGACTTTGTGACCCAAGACGAAGCTATGATCAACAAGAGAGTGAGACGACCAGGAGTAGTAAAGTTCAAAAGTGCATGTATCTTGCGCCAACCACTGATTGGATCAGGGCTGATAAACCTCAAGCAATCAATGTGAGGCTATCTAGAGCTACACTAGAGATGATCGAAACTAAGTCAATGGAACAAAATCCAGGTTGTGTGTTTGGTCACATAGAGGTACTTCAGAAATATGCAGGCTGGGTAATCTTCAAAAAAATCTCTGCATGTTTACCAAACCACCGATATTACGCTCCGGCTTCAGCATGATCGTACGGGCACTAGCAATATTATGGAATGGGTACTGTGCAAAACACTGTCAGGGCCAACCATTTCACTTAACTTTCATTCGAAAAATGTCGCTTAAAGTAGCAGTTCGCTGAATTTACGGACAATTTTTACTTCGTGTGCAGGGAATTTTTAAGATATTGTTAGGCAGGAATCCAGGCGGATCCCACTATACCGCACGTCTTTTGGGCGCTGCTACGGCCGAGAAGCCTGGCCCGCTCGAGGTTGGCCCAGAATTCGGGACGCTTGCCGGTCCGGCATCAAGACGAGATCTGATTGGTCAACAATCTGGACCCAACAGCCAATCATGACCCAGTATTGGCCAAATGCCGGTTGCCAATGGAGCTCCAGAACGCGTCAGAAATTACCGCACGTCTTTAGGCGCTGCTACGGCCGAGAAGCCTAGCCCGCTCGAGGTTGGCCCAAAATTCGGGACGCTTGCCGGTCCGGCATCAAGACGAGATCTGATTGGTCAACAATCTGGACCCAACAGCCAATCATGACCCAGTATTGGCCAAATGCCGGTTGCCAATGGCGCATCCAGAACGCGTCGGAAATTCCAGAAAGTTATAACCGCTTACGTTATATACACGAAGCGCTATACAACTGCTCTTGACTTCATTTTGGGCGTTAATAGACCTTGTGCATCTTTGGTGGTTGTTTTGACGTGAACGCTAGCTAGGGAGGCTCAGACCGAGAACTAAGCTGAGGAAAATACCGTTACTACAGATATGCTGTGCGATTATGTTATGGAACACTGGTAAGACAATTTTGATAAGCACACCAAAACTGTATTCCATATGTGCGATGTTTATGGATTACATCAGTGTTGTCACAAGACCGCAGTTTAATTAGCCTAGATCGTGGCTAATAACCAGTGATGGGTAGTGATCTTAGCACATAATAATCCATTTGTGTCAGTATGTGAATCGTTAGCGTTTGAGGACAGAGAAATTATTTGTGCCTACAGAGGATCCAGTATAAGGGACAGATGCACTCTGAAGAAATCTGCTTCATCGGAAACGTTAGTGAACCCCTCTGGGTGGTGTAAGAAAACGGAGAAGTTGCTACAAAAAAGAGTTAATGCAGCTGAGGACCATGAACAACCATAAGACGAGTACATTGAATAAAAAACGTGTCTCAGCTTGCATTTGGGCGTCAAGCACGTCCAAAGGGTGCTCCGCGTTGGATGCATACGAACACGAGGAAACCATTAGTTGAGCACATTTGTTGGAATTTTGAATGCTGTGCACGGAATAGTACCTGATACATGCCGTGAGCGAATACCAGTCATTAAACCGATTTTTTGTGGTTGAAAATAAAGTTTGGTATGCAGTAATTTACCCAAGGCTTCCGGCTGCAAGCCAAGTTGCCGAAAGTTTCACAGTGAACAAGTTATTGAAGGACAGCATGAAATAAAAACATCTCTCAGCGAATTGAGCATCAAGGGACTTTCGCACCCTCCTAATTGGGATTCATGAGATTTTTGCGTGCGACTAAAAACTACAGAAAATGAAGAACAAGCTGTCATTTCTTAGTCTGCAGTCCCTTGTTATACCCCGCTGAAACGATCTTTGTCAGTTCATCCACGCGGAGTCACCAGAAGGGAGCAACTATAACTTCATTTGTCTAAAAATCGAAACTGCTTTGTTTTAAGATCAGTAAGAGCGTTTCCGGCAATAACCAACGGCTAAATAGCAAGAATAACCGAACTATAGGATGCCTACAGGAAAGTAAAAGCACTCACTTACCAGGTGACGGAATTATGGTCAAGACAATGTGGCTACCACTTTCACGGATCAGCCGAACAACTTGTTCATGATGCAGTCCGAAGATTGGAACGCGATTGACGGCCAAGATCTGGTCACCAACAGAAAGTAAACCCAAACGTTCGGCTTTGCTTCCGGGAACTAGTTGAGCTGGAAGCGGAAAATAAGATTGGCTATCGTGATCACTTGCAACAAAATAAATGGCAATGAGGCGTATCTCAGGTGAGACGTATGAAGAGAGTGTGCACGAAAACAAACAGAAACTTAAATACGATATCAAAATGTTCGAAGACGTTGGTAGTATAAATATGGGACCGTCTCGCGGGGATTGAGTCGTCCCACTCCACAGCAAGTGTTCAGTTACATGGAATGTGACCGGGCAATTTGTTGTGAGCAGCTGTGCTTTCCATGCTGACAACCGGAGACACCTCCAAAGTATGAAGCACATGGTGAATCCACTTGTACCCTTATCTGCCATTGCGCTGACGTGAACACTAAGTGAATTGACCATTTCAAGGAGAGGAGTAACAGCAGTCGACCGAATGACGAACAGCGGATGGCAGTTCGGTGATACACGCTTCAATAAATTCGGAAGTTGAGGATATTCATAATGGAGAGTGACATTAATTTTCTGGCAAAAACCACAGATGTTCAAGATGATGCGGTCGTATCATCAAAGAATTAGAGAACCAAGTATAAAACCTAGGGGACTGTTTGATCAAAAGCTAATAAACCAAGACTCAAAGGGGAACCAATTTGTTACTGAAACAGCACAGACATCCAACTGATGGCCGGGTGCTGGGGGAAGCAGCACCTAAACCCGTATAGTGTTTAACATCCAGTCGGCTAACAGTTAAGAGTAAGACCAATAAGAAGAACCGGCTAATGATGCCCCCATTTGTGGTACTGACGAGTGGTTCTGTTTTGCAAAATCACTGACATCTGTTTTCGACACGAATGCAACAGCATTCATAAGTAAGGATGTGGTTTATCTCAAAGAGCAGCAGGGCGAGAATTTTCCTGTTGAAATCCGGAGGCCAGGAAGGGTGGGAAGTACAGAGGAAAAGCCGAAGGCAAAAATGGTTTGGTTCGTAAGTGGAATTCATGTACGTCGTTGAGCTCAGACCCGGGACATTTACGTCGAGGTCCCTCTCTGACCTTGTCAGGGTACCTAGATGACCTGACAGGATAAGGAATTGTGGTCGTTTTTATGTTTGGTCACCAGGTCGTGCCTTCACAACTGTTTTGCGTCATCCGGAACTGAAAATGTAACACAGCCGAAATATTGTCCGCGGAATCTGTCCCATTTATACTGTCCAGATAAAATTACGAATCACATTCGTGATCCCTCAGGTGATAAAAAATTGGGATGTAGCATCAGTAGGTAAAAGGAACAACAACAGGTGTCCCATTTGTTGAACTGCGGATTTTTTATTCACTCATCAAAGCTTGACCAGTAGTTAACTTCACCGCGAGTTCCATGAAAGAAGATGATGATTTACTCGCTTTGATTTGCATTGATCACAGCAGAAACAAACTTTCTACGAATCCACCAAAACCAGAGAGAATGGAATCTCGCGCTAAATATCCTTAGGCTGATCGGTCTAAATGCGGAAGCCCGAAGTTTCGTGGCTTCCTTTTCTATAGAGCCAATGATCGTTCAGCTGTAAACCCCCTTCGGTGCCCAGCCGCCATGCCACCAGAAGGAAGCACAAGGGCTGCGATACTGCCAGAGTGCCCAAGCCTAGGCAGGGGAAGTGAAGAGGCAGAGGTTGGATTCGAACCACGGACCTTCCAGCCAGTAAACTCGCGCTATAACCACTGAGCTATCTCACCCTAATAAAGCCGACTGCCTCATTAGATACCTTTAGGATAGAACGACTAAATATACTCATAAACATGGCCGAACATTGAAACCCATAGGTAGCAGTGAGATTGCTGCAACAGCTGCTGTTAATGATGACGATGATATGAACGCGGGACTCACCTATGTATTCACCATCAACTTTGGTTGTACCAGAAGGCGTTGCTCCTGCTTTTTCATGAGAAAATTCCCTAGGGCGTGCATTGCTGATGAAGAAACCAAAGCCATCATCTTTATGGCTTCGAGGAACGACAACCTCAACAGCATCGCAGTCATCACCACATGAATACATGTGTTCTCCGTCCACAGGGGGTTCCGTCTAATGTTTTGGTAGAAGCAGGTGGAAAGGAAAAGTAGTATAATTAACCGCGAGTAAAACTCAAATAAGATATCCTAGCTTGTCAGAGAGCGGAGGAAACACGAATGTTATCCGAGTCCATATTGGGGAAAAAGCGCAACGTGACTAAGATGAAAAAAAAAACTGTGCCGTCGATGAGCTTAATGACGAATAAAGGGGCACTAAATTTTTTCCGGATTTTTTCCATCGGACAGAAAAAAACGTTGACTGTGAGTAATTCTGTGCCGTGAAATAGATAATCCACTTGTCGGAAAAAGTTTTGCACCTAGAATCCTTCCATAGCCTAACTGATTTGGAAAGTGTAAGGAAATTTTTGAACCAGTTTGACTTACAGGTAGACGCAATCACCAGCAATACTGCAACAAAGGAGCAAACTCCAAAAATAAGCCAAGCTGTTAAAAAAGGGGGCGAAGCTAGTTCAGCTATCGACGACGCCATGGAGAGGCGAGGTGACTTAGGATGGAGTCAAGGCACTCCTTTGTAGGGTTTCATACTTCCGTAGAATAGACAGGAGCAAACTAGCGTTCGAAAGAAAAAGAGAGTTGGGGATGACCCACAACATTCAGGAAACCGGTTCATACTCCATAAGTAAAGTAATATCAATTGGTGGTTGCGTATCCGACAAATGAAGAATAAGTCTGAATTGGCATAGGGTTGCCATAAGTCGAAGAAACATCCCTGAGATTGTTAGGCACCTGAAAAATTTTCAGCTAATACGCGTGATGAAACTGGTTGTCTGCTGTACGCGGATTTTGAGCAATACCACCTACACCAAACAAATTATGTATTTTTCATGAGAGCACATGAAAGAGAAATTAAATTAGTACCACGACGGCAAACATTTATCTGAATTCCAGTTCCAGCTAATGAGGCGTTGAACAGTTGTGGATGACTAAATTTGCTATAATGAAGGCTTCTGAGGAAATTGTCACGTTTCAAACAAAATCGCATCAAACTGTACACGAGAATGGCGAACTTTTTCAAGGAAGTTGCCACTAACCACACAAGGCGTACCACAAGAGGGAATAACTTCCTTGGATCAAAATCCTTTACCACCGCGTCCCGATCGGTAACAATATTCCATAAGAAAAAGAGCAAAGATATGCGGAGTTCAAGTAGCTCATTACATTTGTCCAGAAATAACTAAGTTAGCGTACTGAAAACAACTTTACGCAAGTTAGCGTTTAAACAAACCCTATGAAACTGTGAGGAACCTCGGAGATATGCACACACAAATCCATTAAAGCAAAAGAATAGCAAAAGAATTCAGTTCTACCCATGGTCAAAAAGAGTGAAACCTCCACACGAGGGAACGATTTTTATCAACACGAGAATGATCATTCGAAAGGGAAATCAATGTGCCCCCAAAGGAGCACTAGCAAAATAAAGCGTCTACACCAAGCTGGTCCCAGCTTAGTTGCTCCAACCGGAATATTTACCAAGCTCCATGGAGAAATTTCAGCTAACAGAGTTGACCCATACGGAGCACTCATGCCGCAGCACCAGGACAAACGAAAAGTATTCCAATTTACTTGAAACACATTAAGCACACATTTATCTGTTCGGTGATCACAATCCCTGTATACAGGAGAATGCCCTTCATCGTTTCAATAACGTCTTGAAAACCTTGCGTCTTCGAATGAAACATAAAATCCCCGTGTTAGAAAAGTTCCAGCGCATTCCAGTTTTGCCAGAACTGGCACTTGGGGGTCAATGTTGGCATGCTTATTTAAACGAGTGATAGGGATTGACAGCTTCCGTGTGCCAACCGCCAATATGTGAAGATTAATCCACTGAAGATGATTTACAACGAGCATGAATAAGGTATAGCAACTCACCGATCGTTGTAGTCCCAGCGTTACTTGCCCAACAGTATGTGCCGCCTGTTCCAGCATCTGGACTACTTCGCGATGTTTGGCCCCAATTACCCGGGTCCCATTCACTGAAACGATTTTGTCACCGGTTCGCACGATACCACTCATTTGGGCTGCGCCACCAAGCACAAGAGAACCGACAACTACCTTGAATCGGTTAATCAGAAAAGAAATAGCTTAGAGTTACGAACAAGTGAAAGTACGAACACTTGCCACGCTATCAGAAAGCAGAGCACTCTACAGGTATCTACTACCCTCATTTTCGCCTTTAAGTAACCACAACCTGAACCGATTTGAGGAATATTTCGGATACAGTATCCTTTCGGGTGATAATCAGCTACCACTCAGTA